GAGACCCAGGGTCTGCATAACAGTTAAGCCGTCACTATTGCCCCCTGTCGCAGTCTGCAAACTGCCTGTAGCAAGGATGCCTGTCTGCTCTCTGACAGGGTGGCGCGTAGCCTGCCTGCATCGAGCACCACTCCCAAATACAATACCTGTTGTTGAGGCATGGGGGCGCTCTTCTTCCAATCGATCGCAAATCCTAACTTGGTTAGATGTCGGATCAATTGAGCCGTATGACACATTGCCCGTTCCCTGGAGCAGGCCATAACTATGAGGTCGTCTAGGTCAAAGAATACTCTCATGCCTCGGCTGCGCAGCGGCTGGAGTGCCACCTCCACGCTCTTCCTGAACGTGCGTGGGGACAGCGAGTAGCCGAACGGCAGCCTATTGTACTCGTAGGCCACCCCCTGGAAGGCAAAACGTAAATACTTTCTGTGTTTCGGAGCAATTCCGACATGAAAGTAGGCGTCCTTCAGGTCGATGGTTGTAAACCAATCGCCTGGCTGCACCAGTTCCAATAACCGTTTCACAGTCAACATCTGGAAGGTTTTGCGTACAATGTGAAGATTCAGACCACGGAGATCCAGAATGGTCCTGAATTCACCTGTTTCCTGGGCACCAGAAAATACAGAGAATAATGCCCCCTCTCTCTGTCCCGTGTACGCACAACAGATACCACCTGTTTTTGCACCAAAGTCTGAACCTCTATCTCCCTTTGGGATGATAGCTTTGCCTCTTTTATGCCTGTAAACTCTCTGTAAAAATCTCCCATGAAGGGAGCATCCGGATACATTAGTATTAGTTCTATTTTTATAGAGAAAATTAAACATTTAGAACCAGATTTTGAGACAGTGAGCGGCTGGGAAAGTCACCCCGAGGGGCGGCCATCTGTAGAATCTGGAGAACCACAGAACGGCCGGTCGTCAAGGGCTGTTGACGGCCGGCCGGCCCTTTAAATAAGAAATAGCTTAACCTCATAATTTAAGTTGCGCTGACGGCCGACAAAGGGCGACAGCGGCCGCTAATGCAGTTGTGTGGTTCTTATCTGTCAAATAATCACACACGAAGAAGAAAAGACCGGCCACACAAAAGAAAAGGGATTAGACGCCGCGGCAGACAGGGAGAATGAAAAAACATGGATAAAAATCAAAGAAAACGAAAAGAAAAAGGTGGGGCCGAGAAGGCAAGAGAAAAAAAGGTGAAGTCACTCGCAGGTGAAGCATATAAATATCGCAAATGTACAGACCTTTTTGGCAGCAGCGCTACAAGCACTATCAGCAGCAGCTTAACAAGTGCAAGATGATGAAGAGCGCAAGTTCAGATATACAGCCAGCCTCCTGCGTTCATGATGAGGGACAGAGTTGAGCTGCTGGAAGAACCATCTCAACTGGCACACGTGCAGGGCAAGAGGTGGGTGAGAATTATCCCTTGAACTCAGAGGCGTTTTCTCCTGGAGGCCAAGGGAAGCCAGGCTTCCCCTGTTTTTTTGGATTGTAGTAATAATTTTAATAAATAAATAAAAACACTTTGTTTAATTTCGGTAATTATTCTGCCGGCCCATCTCTCCCCCATTCTCATTGAGTATTTTACAAAGAGTGAAACAGCGGCCCTCTAGATGTTATGATGAAACAGTAGATTGCACTCTGTTGCGAGAGGAGGCTAGCCGAAATTGGCTTCCCTTGGTGAAAAAATTTTGAGGGATTGACCAATCAGATGAGGCTCACGTCATGCCTCACAATCCAATCAAATCGCATCAACTTCAGTTCGTACTGTAACTGTCATCACCGCCCTTAAAAAGTAGCAAGCAACTCAAGCAAGTGCAATTATGGAGGGTGGAGATTTGGAGTATTTCATCAAAAATAATGTTACTAAACTTCCGCTACAGCAGCAACTAAAAATGAAATCTGATGACAGGCCAATGCCCAAACTGGAGCTGTGTACAGAGAGGAAAAAAGGAGAGAATCGGACGTAAAACTTTAAATAATAAACAGCGGATTTCTAACATTTGACATTTCATGTGGCCGGGCTGGGTCAGTTTCCAGGGCTGAATTTTAGTCCCAGTCCGCCCCTGGGTGACAGTATGGAGGGCTCATTGCTTCCATCAAATATCAAAGTGGCTGATGTGTTGTCTCCTGAGGCCCCCACTGAGCAGACGCTCGTCGTGGTTCTGGAGGTGCAGACTGGAGGTGAATCATTCAGCCAATCCATAAAGTAAACAGCCTACCAACCTCAGAGGTTATCTCCTGCTAGTGTGAACAGTAACTTACAGGGCTCTGCTGTCAAAGGGCTCAGTCAGGAGCCACTTTGTGATGAAGGAGTGCTGCAGAGCATGCTGGGGAGAGATTCTCTGATCCCCGTCAACATGCAGAAGCCGTTTGAGGAGGTCCACAAAAGCCATCCTGTCCTCAATCTCAGCAGCCTCCTCTTCTGGATGGATCTGGATCTGAAAACAGATCAAGCTCAGTTGATGCAGCCCCAACTCTCAAGACTGGTACTGTTTCAGTCTTATGCAAAGCAGACAAAGAGTACGTACATTGACAAGATCATCCAAAGAGCCTGGGAGGTCAATTAAGCTGTGCCGCTCTTCTGCCTGGATGTTGTTGACATCTGTAAATTCACAAGGCGTCTAAAGGAACACAATACACATTAGAATCTTTCTAAAACAGTTAACATCCACTGATTTAACCAACATAGGTACTCCACCATCAGCCTCCAGGTTGGATGGTGAGCGGCCACTTCCTCAATGAAGAAGTAATTTGTATGTATGCCAGCGCGAAGCATGTGGTCCTCCGGCTGACCCAGAACCTCAACCATGCACTTCATCTGCAGACAAGATAACATGAGCTACAAAAATGGACCTTTATTGATCCCGTAGGGAAATTCAGGAGGCATAGCAGTTACCGAATAAGAGAGATAGACAGAGTTACAGCTGACATTCTGCATCAAAGTCTCTGCGGAAATTCGTCTGAGGTAGACAACCCACCATCTGATATTCACAGTCAACAGGGAAGAGGTTTTCAGCCAGATAGAGGAAGGCCAGTATGCAGCCCACCCCCCACACATCGATAGCCTCGGTGAACGGGAGGCCCAGGGCAATCTCTGGAGATCTGAAGAGGAAGCCCAAAGATTAGATCTTTGTCGGCAGGTGCAGAGGACCAAGAGAGCAACATGGTTGGAGGAACCCACCTGTACCCTGCTGGCTAAAGATCCATACCAGTCTGGACTTCAGAGGATGTCATAGCTTCACCAAAGTCTATTAACTTCACTCTAAAGAGCTGGTCCAGCTGGTTGACACACATTACGTTGTCGGGTTTGATATCCGTATGCAGGACACCAAGACCCTTCAGTGCATCCAAAGCCACCAACAGCTGCTCGGACAAACAGGAAACAGAAGTTTGGTGTTCAGTCTGCTGCTGTGTTGGACTATAGTCTCGTTGCCAGCAGTGTGCACCCAGAATGTTGAGTACACCCAAGTTTTATGATAGAAATGTGTAGTTTGGGTCCCAGCACATAGAAAATGCCGGATGGTAAGTTGCATATGTTGGGCAGTTTGCACAATAAGCATTGGTTGCGTTAATACCCAGGGACTGCAGATGGAAATTAGCAGACTGCTATAATCTTGTACAAAGCATCTTGTTTCTTTGAGATTGATGTTCTTTTTGTAGTTGGTCCCTGATAACTAAACCAATAAACTAAACTAATTAGCATGAATGGCATAATAGCCTATGTCCAGGCTATAATGAGTCTATTTTATAATTTTTTTTAGGATCAGAAATGGCAGATCTAACCAGAAAGTGGCATTATTTATACTCTCTGTTGGCTGATTTTCACTACAATGAGCAGTGTTGCCACAATTGGATATAGACAGCACATGATGAAAATTATATCTCTACTGTGGACAATTCTTTCTCAGTTAAATATGCAATCCGTCCGATCCAAATGATCCAGATTCCCGTAAATCTTCCAAATCGAATCCAAAAATTAATCAAGATCAGTCCACAGAGTACACATATTTGGAATTTTATGCTTTAAACTGCCAATTTTGATCCTGAAAATGTCAGAAATGGACTCAGCATACCCAGCGCCGTATAGATAAAAGAGTTACGACAGCGGAAGTCCAAAAACGGTTATCGTCACGTGGTTCATGCAGACGAGGATCGTTCCCCGGAAGTTCATGGCAGGCAATGTGAATGCATTGATAACAGGAGATAGAACTACGATTTTTGGTAATTATTAGTGAATAAAGGTTTTGATTTGCAATATTTATAAAACAAATCGATATGTGTATGTATTTACATCAATATTTTTTTTAAAATAAAATAGAATTTGCTAATATTAAGTGATAATATTAGGATTAGTGTGAACAACTAGTTTACATGTTAGACTAACAGTGCCTTGGTTAAAGAGCCTGTTGCTGTTTATAGCTTTGAATTCTTTAAAACCAATATTATCTTCTTAAACTTGTATTGTAGTCAGGAGCATCACTTTCTAATGTTTATTGATATATTTAGAGGGAGGGGATCTAAAGGAATGCTTCAAAATTCAGATTAGATTAATTTCTACCAGTTTCTTAAATTCATGGTAGTTTCAGTAATCCCATGGTAATTGAGGACAAGTTATCTAAATGACTAATGTCATCTTTATGGCTTTCAGAAAGGACAGGAGACCGACAGGTGACTATCAAAGGACTAGCAGCAGCAGCAGCAGCATGATGATGATGTTAAATGTGTTGTTTTAGGAACATCCATTGCAAATACATGGAATTCAATAAACATTGAATAGCATATCATGCAGTTTGTCTGTGCCTCTTCCTCCGTGTTGTCCTGGTTTGCTGTGCTGCCTCCTAGTCGCCACCATGGTTTGCTGTGCTGCCTGGGGATGCTCAAATCGCTCCGAGAAAGGAGTACGAATGTACGGCTTCCCCACTGACACAGAGCGGAGGAAAAAATGGCTGGCTCAAGTCAGCAGGAGCAATTTCACGACCAACAGCAAAAAAAATATGTGAGGTTATTATATACAAACACTGCATTTGCACTTTTTCACAAAACGAAAACCACACCATTGGGAAAGCTTAATGTTTTGTTTAATACAAAAAAACAGGGAAAGGCTTGAAAAACACAGAGTTGAGACTCAGGGTGCAGGGTGAGGGTCTCAGTGCAGGTATTCAGGCTCCATTGAATCCCCCTCTGGTTCTTGTGCTGAAAGAGGGAGTAACAGACAGGAGAAAGGGTTATACACACTA